TCCCCAAGACTTTGCAGCACAAATACTGTCCAAGGCTACAAACAGGTACATCAATTTGGGAGCATGACAAGAAATTCCCTTTAGGTGACAACAAAATGTACATGCCGTTAGATCAGCTGCAGTATACTGTGATGAAATAAATTGAAGCCAACAGACGAAAGCTCGGGGCCCCAAACAACAGAGGAGACTATTAAGGTGTTCTACCAGTCTCCTTGTGGGACGCTGCCATCCTTTGGCCTAAAACAGAACTGCACAAGTGGACATTTGTGCCAAATTAAATTTATTACAATTTCAAATATCTCCACATGGCTTCAGTCTTGAAAAGAGCTCCCTAACTGCTCCAGAATTATTTCTTGAACAACACATTGTTGTGCTTAACTTAGTTATTTCACAGTTTGCATTACATATAACTCTACTCCAGAAAAACTGTGATCTTGAAATTGAGCAGAAGCTAATGACCAAAATGGGAGTTTTAAGTTGTAGCACCAACATTAAAATTATTGCACAGAAGTAGCAGGAAAATGTCATATTTAGACTGAAGCAAATGCCTTTAGTGTAATAAAAGACATAAGGTTTGTAAACTACACAACTAATTTTCCAATAAAATAAACCCTATTTTTACAATCGCAAATCCTAAATACAGAATACTTAATCAAGATTAAAAACTACAAGTTTTAATTTGAATTAAGCTAAGCTTTTCTACATTTTACCATGAAGCGTTGAAGTAAACGTGGGATGACAATATCTGAGTGAGTCTGGATTTATTTTAAAGTTGCTTTGTCCTAAAAAGTTTCAAATTCATGCATTTAAAAGCTTATTGTGGTTTCAAACCATATGGTTTATTATTCAATTTAGAGCCCAGGTTGACAGATAAAGGATCACCGTTGTCCTCTGCAGAAATGGACCAAGAAGACAAATCACCTCAAAAGGATAAAATAAATGTTTGCATAATTAAAACAGTATTTGTCTTACCTTGGCTGTTTCTTCTCTTCTGTGCAAAAAAAACAACAAAAAAAAACACTTAAACTGATGTGGTAAAGTTTCTCACATTCATTTAAGATGAACAACTGAAATTAAATAGCAAAAAAAAAAGTACTAATTTTTTTGTTTTAATGACAAATACAAATAAATAAAAATCTTGATTTTCAGTAAATTCATCTTTCTGTGTTGCCACTTGGGAATTTTATAAAAATCATTTTGTATATATATATCTGTACAACAATATAAACATGGAAGGTGTTATTATTTTTACCTGGTAAAATAAAGAGACCACCTGAAAGCATGCTAACACTAGCTAGCAAAAAAAAAATGTTAGCTTCAGCTCGTTAGCCAGTTAGCTTAGCTAGTTAAACTGTAACTTCAGAAAATGTTAACTCTCGGCCACTTCACACAGTTTAATTTAGAAAATAACATGACGAAAAAACTGCAAAATAATTTAAGAATTTAATAAATTACTCGTGGCCTACTCACTTATGCCACCACTATTAGCTGGGGGCAGGGATTAAAATTATATTGCGCATGCGCCAGCTATAGGGGTCAGAGGTCATGAAAAGATCAAAGTCCACCTAGCCCGCCAATTTCCTTGTTTAAAAACAATAAATGTTAATACTTGCATTTATTTCTTTAGTTGTTAATTCACAGAAATTTAGGCCATGACGTAGCAATTACAGAAGATACCAAGAGTCATAGTGCTAAGCATTAATAGCATAAAAACAATAAACACAAAAAGCCAAACAGCAGCACGAACATGAGTCTGTGTGAGCAGATGAACACGAATGAACAAAGCAACATGAAACAAATTATATATATATATATCAGATATATCTATAGCTATTTGTATACTCATGAAAATATAATACAGCTCAGCAAATTCAAAGAAAGAGTAGATAAAAGAATTCAGCTCTATATCATGAAGGTAGCTGAGTAAATAAATTTTGACTTAGATTCAAAAGTGTATTCCTTAAAAATTGACTAGGTAGGCAATGTGTAGGGATGCTGTTTGTACTGATGGTTGTGCCTTGTCTTAACTCATGGAGTCACATTTTGCAGAAAACTGGATAAGAAGACTGCCACATTGAGCTTTTCCTGCAGTTTTAAATATAAACCTTCATTTTCACGTGATGTTTTGGTCAAATCTGCAAAGAGCCACGACAGAGGAACCCAACGGCCCTGGAGCCGTAGCTATACAGACCCCTGAATTAACAGAATAAAAGTCCAGAGGGATTGTTTTCCAACTCTACGGGTGAACACCAAACATGAACAGGTGAGCACTTCACTGAATAAGAAACTGAATAAACTTGATAAACTACGACGTGTTTCATTAAACTAATCACAACAATGAACAGGTGAGCACTTCACTGAATAAGAAACTGAATAAACTTGATAAACTACGACGTTTTTCATTAAACTAATCACAGCAATGAACAGGTGTTGCACTTCACTGAATATGGAACTGAATAAACTTGATAACACCACAATGTGTTTTATTAAACTAATCACAACAATGAACAGGTGAGCACTTCACTGAATATGGAAAAGAATAAACTTGAAGTACTACAATGTGTTTTATTAAAATACAACGATGAACAGGTGAGCACGTTACTGAATATGAAACTGAATAAAATTGATAACATGACATGTTTTATTAAAATAATTACAACGATGAACAGGTGAACACTTCACTTGCTATGGAGCTGAATAAACTTGAAGCACTACAATGCATTTCATTAAACTAATCACAATGATGAACAGGTGTTGCACTTTACTGAATATGAAACAGAATAAAACTGGTAGCACTACATCATGTTTTATTAAAATAATCACAACGATGAACAGGTGAGCACTTTACTGAATATGAAACAGAATAAAACTGGTAGCACTACATCA